ACATGAATCATGAAGAAGAAAAAACGAAAGAGAGATTATTTATGCCTATTTTTTTCCGGTGAACACACGTGCCATTTGTTTGTCAACGAAAACTAACTACTACATTAAAAAGATCAAAAAGCGAAAACAAAAAAAAAAAAAAAGACAAAAGAATCAGAAAGAGAAAATAAATGATACTTGACTTACACAGTTGATTTAAATTTGTTGTCATCAATACCTAAAGTGAATCACTAGGAAATTCTATACATAATACTTAACATTTTTCATTAGATCTATTGACAGAATCTCATCGATTATTTTCTATAACAACTGAATGAATCCTTTGAAGCATCCATCAGTGTGTAATGACAAAGTTAGAGAGCTCGAGATTTCTAATTATTGAATCGTTTTTTTTCATTAAATCTGGTAATCGACTCTGCTGATTCCAAATATCAATACGAGACCGGCAGCTATTTTTCTTTTCCCTTTTGATTTTTATATGAAAGAAGCAATTAGATAATTAGAGATCTTCCTTCGTAAACCTCCTCTACCGTGAGCATCTAAGGACGATTGCCTCTCCCTTCCGAAATATTTTCATCCAACAGAAAATGCCTACAAATCTCTAATGAACTTCAAAACATGTTTTGTGACCATTGACAATAATCTAAGATACGGTGAATAGATATGATTATTTTGTTGTGCTGTTATTTTTTTTTACAATGAGTGAAACTAAAATGTGAATTTTGATATATATATAACGTTGAAACAAATGAAAAAGACAATTAAATAAAAGGTGAAGACATCTGTTGACCATCTGTTGTCATGTTTTTTATTTTTATTTTTATTGATGATAATGATATGTGAAACGAAAAAAATTAATCGATTGAATATTTCCGTTCGTTTTCTTCTTTTTTTTTTTTTTATATTTGCCGCTTTCATTTGAGTAAATCTAGTGTTACATCCTTTATTATTTTTTCAAATATGTTAAATTTTATTTACATATATCACTGTTCTTACAACCGGGATGAACAACAACAACAACAACAAAAAATGAATATTTGTTTTATTTTATACAAGTGAAGCTTGAATATCAATTTGTTTTAATTTTAAATTAATATCTTTTTTTTCTAAAAGTTTATCATTTGATTCTTTAAATATATTTGTTGATGAACTTTCAATTGTCCAAATTTTTTCTAATGTTATTTCTTTAATTTGTTTAATTTGTTTTTGTCGTTGATTATAATATTTATAAAATAAATATGTTATAATTATTAATATTATTAGAAATATAATTATAAATAATAATATAATTATAAATTCAAATGTAAAAATTTTTTGTTCTTTTTTTTGTATAAGACGTATATCAATTTCACAATATTGTCCAATAAATTCTTTTGAACATATACATTTATTATCTTCACATCGACCATTATTACGACATATTGGACATTTTAATTCAATTTCACATTGTTTACCTTGATAACCTGGTGGACAAATACATTTTTCTAATGAACTTAAACCACCATTTAAACAAATACGTTCTTCACATAATAAACCTTGAAAATCTAATGGACATTGACATTTTGATTCAAGATATTTTCCACCATTTTTACAATTAATATTTTCATTAGAATTTTTTATTAAATGTTTTATTGGAATTTCACAATTAATTCCTGTCCACCCATGATGACAAATACATTGACCCGGTTGATTAAGACAATGACCATGTTGACAATCTTGTCGACAAATAGCTAAAAAAAAAGAAGAAAAAATCTATCATCTGGATTTTATTCTCAATAGAAAAATGATCTTACCTTTATTACAATCAATTCCAGTCCATCCTTGTTGGCATATAATATCACCTGTTTGAGTATCACATCTTGAATGTATTGAAAGTGGAGAACAGAAACGTGAACATTGTGAACCATAGAAATTTGTTGAACATGATACTCGATAACGAAAAGAAAATTCATGAGAAGTTAATGATGAATCAATTGTTTGAGAATGATGCCATGATGAATTTGGATATATTATTGAACGTATTGTTGTTGACATAATTAATTCACGTACACTACCTGGATATGGTTGTCCATCATAAGTTTTATCATTAAATATATCAATATGAAGAACAAAATCTCCCTAAAAATAGAAAATTTTCTATAAAATATATATATATATATTTTTTTTTTGTTTATTTAATTTACCATCCAACTAAATTTAAATGGTAAAACAATAAGATTAACTTGTTTTGGTAAACGTGTAAAATCAATATTATTTCCACCAAGTATTGGTGTTTCATCAAAACCATATGTACATTCTTGATTATTTAATATTAATGGACGATTAATATTATCCAAATTAGGATTTTGATTACGTAAACAAAAACGAATAAATGTTTTACATGGTTGTATACATGTAAAAAATCGATCAGGTCCACTACAACATGTACCATTTATATTTAAACCTTTTCGATTAATTAAACGTTCTAATTCAATTTCAAATTTACCAGAACTTAAACATAACTATATACAAAAGAAAACAAAAAAAAAAATTTATTTTATTTTTCTGAAATAATTTAATTAAGAAAACCTACTTGAATATGAAGGAAAAAAACGATGAAATAGTAGAAATTCATTATATGATGATCACGAATGAATAGAGAATATAATAACTATTGATTTTCTTCTTTCCTTATATACCTATGCTTGTTAAATTTTTCATCATATCGATTCGATGAACCAATAGAAAAAAAAAATTAGCACCTTTCTCTTTCTTTCTTTCTCTCTCTCTCTCTATGTTCTCGTTCAATGTCGTCTGACTGGCGGCTAGGTGTCAATTATGGACAACCACTGACCATAGAGAAAATATCATCAACTCAGACACGCGATTCAAATATATATTTCAATTGAATAACAATTTTCGAGATCTTTGAAATGATTGTTACACATTAGTAGAAAACCCGAAAGAGAAAGTTTATCTTTTTTTTTTTTTTTCCAAACAACAAATTTCGATTTCTTTGATAATAATGACAAATAATTGATCATTAATTTTCAGCTATTGAGAAAAAAAAAACACAAAAAGGAAAATAACAACATTCCTTTCTCGCTCTCTCATCTCTATTATTAATCATCAGCGTGTATATTGATCAGGTTCACTTTAAACAATATCAGCTTGTTTTTTAAAGTCTTATGAATCTTTAAAGCAAAAAGAAAAGTGTCAGTTATTTTCTTTATATTTAAAAAAGAATTGTCTTTCATATCTTCTTAATTACAGACATTTTTCCTTAATTGACCAACAAAAAAAAAAAAACGAAATATCCATAATCTAAATGCAGCTCTTTTTTTGAAAGATATGAAAAAAATGTTTTTGTCTTTGTAAACTATGTCATTTAGCTATTCTTAGATGCGTTCATCGTTATTTATTCGAATGATGACGACATCATAGGGAGTGGCATATCAATAATAGAAGAGAAAGAAGACAAGTATGTATAGACTCCAATTAGTGATATTGAACAAGATCGATAATATTGATAGACACCATTGGAGAAAAGATTTTTTTTCACAAGATAGTGTTAATAAAAATGATTTGGTTATTTTTCGAAGAATGACACCTATTCATTGATAATTTAATATTGATTTCAATTTTGAAATATTTTTGGTATTTTGTTATATGTTTTTGTTTCTAATTGAATAAAATCAGTCAACCATCAGATCAATTTCTTTTTTTTTTGTATATAGAAATTAATGAAAATATCTTTTGAATATATATAAGGACCGTACGTTCATACATTGTCATTTATAAGACAATAGGAAAAAATATGTAACATGATGAAATTGCAAGCTGTTCAGAACAAAACAAATATTTTTCAATTAAATTTTTTCTTGTATACAAACTATCAACATGTCACATCTACGATGGCCTCAAGGGATTTATATGCAAACAAAAATATCAGTATAGATGTTTCAAATTTGTTCAATAAAAAGGAGACAAAACAGGTTTTTTTTCATACAAAATGGAATTGAAAAACAGAAATTTTGAAGACATAGATTTGAAGCTTGATTTTTTTTGTATACCATTTATCTTGAACTTGAAACGCTTGAATAAAACTGATTTCAATTGAATATTGAAATGAATGCAAACATCAATGCATTCTATTAATTAATCTTTAACTATTGTCCAACAGAATTGATATTCGATATTTCTTTCCTTTTTATTCCCATGGTGATTGATGATGCATTTGAAAATCAATTATTTTGTAAAATTTCTGTTTACTATTTATTGAATAACAAATCAGAAAATGAAATATCGAGATTTTTTTAAAATGAAATCATCACATATTCTACTATCTAGAAATGTTGTTGCTGATATTTCTAACTGTGAAGTGATCATTAAAAACAAATGAGTGTTTTTATCACTATATTAATTATAAATGAAAGCAAGAATAACAAGTAGAGAAAAACAATAATTAGTTTAAGGATGAGAATGCGGCAAGACAAATGGAATTTTTCGGGATTCGGAACTGTCCTGCAGAACTCTGCACTCCGCACATCTTTATCATTGGAATGCTTTGCTTCATTTTAGTTGATACATGTCTTGATTAGTTTAGTGATAAAAAAAACATTTTCCCGGTTTCTTTCGAATGTTTAAACAGTTCGATATTTCCAACACTACAAGAATTGATGATTACCTTCAGACTGCATGGGAATTATAAAAGTTGTGATAATATTTTACTAACAGTAATATTGGAGAACTTTCCAATGATCAGATAAAATAAAATTGAAAATAAAATTTTAAAAAAAGTAAACATTTTTCACTATTTTCTTTACAGACATGTGTAACACTTCGACTATATGATAATGAATTTATTGAAATGAAAAAAGTATTCGTTTGCAGTTTTATGATTTTTACAAATATTATTTATAGCAGAAAACAACACATTAGAAACTTATTAAATTGACAATTTCTAAACTGAAATTTAATGAACAGTTGGTAAAATAACGAAGAACACTAATACTCAAATAATTTCCATTGATGGGAGTGTTAAACACATTTATCGTAGTTGAGATCACACATATTCAAGTTATTGAAATTCTAAAATCTGAGGGCGTGGGTGTGGGTGAAAAGAAGATCTACACCAACACACCCCACACTCACATCCTCGAAAAGATTTTAATGCCTATCTGTAATTATATTTTATTTAAATCCATATAGAAATAAAAATTTTAAAAAATGTTTCTTTGTCAGTGCTAAAATTCAATTAGTACTATCTGTAAGTTGTTATTTCTTTTCTTTTTTTTTATTTTCTAATATAGTATTCGGTCAGAGCGAACGAAGCATAGATAGAATAACGAATCAATAGCAAATCATGCATTATATAGTTTTGGTAGAGACAGAAAATCATTCTAATAGAATTAGATGGGAAAATTTTTTCTCTGATAAACTGTGTCATCAGTTTTTCTTGAAAAAGTGTCCAGTAACGGCGAAAAGTAGGTGTGAGTGTGGATATAGGAAAGTAGGAGATCTACATCCACACCCCACCAACACCCACACCTACACCCATATTGGATATTTTTTTATTTAGTCAATCACAAAATCATTATATGATGACATCAATTCAAGAAAAGTTTGTAAATCGATTATTTAGAACACATGCTGATGTAAGGCTAATTTCTAGTTATTTGTTTGAAACAAATATTTTTATGTAGATCTCTGAATTAGCACGGAAGCTCGAGGCATGTAAATCAAATCTTCGATTTTTGAATAAGACGGTAACAACTACCAAGGTTGGTGCTGAAATCATGACCAAGTCAAAGCAACATTATAATAGAACATTGTCGGAAATATTTATTATTAATATAATTATAAATTATCTTCAGAACAATGATATCAATGTGGAATTGAAAAATGAATTCAACATCATTTACGGATGAACAGCTGCTCTTGAAGTGGGTGACAAGTAAGATACTCATTCAATATTCGATCCATGAAACACCATTTTCATTATAGATGTCAAGGTATGGTCGAGGAATTTCATCAAGCACAAGATTATGGTGTGAGTGTGGATGTGGGTGTGTGGTACTCACACACACTTTCCTAGAATATCTTTTTTTTATACTCTATAATTTATTTTCTAGTTTACAGTGCATGTAAACAGCCAAATTCTTTATTATACAATAAATTTTTCTTTCTAGAATGAGTCGTCGTATGATGCTTTATCATTCTATTTAAACTCACCCACACCTCCTGTTAAATTCGTGCGAACACGGAAATGAAATGATGTTTTCTGATCATTTATTCGTAAGATTTAAAGTTGAATGATCCACTTTTCTCCAATTCTCTAATGGCAAATAGTCCTTAGCTGCGAAAAAGAAATCGATTTTGCACTATATTCTGTGTATATAAGTGTTGGAGGTATAGTGATGTTACCAGAATCATTGCAGCTCTCGGCACTTATTTTGTGTATCTGTGCCGCAACCAATTTTCGTCTCTGCGTACACGGTAATATCAATTTCCAGAACTAATACATCTAATGCCTTCAACAACTCTATGTCTGTATGGAAGTATTAGAGATATAGAGATATAGATCTTGAATTTGGTACAAGATGGAATTTTTTATGACGTCCAAGTATTCTATTTTCAATGAAACTCACAAGTTCTCATTATATGAATGCTCAGCTTCTTTCTTGTTCTGTTCGACCAAGTGTGTCTTTTTGAAGAAAGAAGCTAAATAGTTTTTGCCTAATAATAATATTTTCCCATTTTAAGTTATTGTGCAAGCAATTCTAACAGCGCGCCACGATAGAGTTGGCGTATTCTCTTATACTAAACATAGTAGAAGCATCGAGAATATCATCAACAAGAAAATGAATGACATCCATGGTTTAGGCTGTTTGAAAAGTCACAGAAATTACAAAGTCATGCAGACAAGATAGAAGTAATAAAGTAAAACAAGTGTCTTCTCAAAGCTTGATATTGAGTAAATACGTTGTGAATATACCGATGAGTGATACATATATGGTGCCTTTATAATTCATTCAGTAAAATACGATACATTTTGATACATCTCCTATACACTGATTCAGTTACTAGAGCTCGTCAAATATTTCATGTGTTAGCTAACTAAATAATCCACTAGAAGATTAATGTAAATCCTGTGCCATGTTCGTGCGTCTGCATTCGGATAGATTAAAAAATCGTCTCTTAATGCCTAAGGCAGGAACATATATGTGGCATAAAAAGATCACTGTTAGGAACTAATGGACCATGTTTATTAGATGTTGCAACATACAAGAATGTGATCACAATAAAAGTAGGTCATAAGGAGTAACGGATGATGTCCACTTGAAACCACATAATCCGACTACAATTACGATAATCGATGTGCACAAGAGAACAATTAGAATCAAATACCGATATGATAATGACAGAAGACTTATTGTGATAAAGATCTAGGGAAACAGGTTCGAAAATAAATTAGGCGTACGCACAACCGATAGTAGAAGCTGTGGAAATCTTATCTGTCTGATAGATGAAGTTTATGTTTATGTTAAACATAGAAAATAGGAATACCCCGTAATTATCTTTAGAAAAGCTACGCTCTTGCAAAAATAGTGACAAGTGAATGTTAATGTAAAC